TTAATTCAGCTCAGTGTCTGAAATGTGGAAGTAAGGACCGCTGAAGGGTCCCAGGGTAAGGACAGAGGATAGGACTGATAAGTCTTTCGACTGTGTTTAAAGCAAACTCCCACACGTGGACTTTCAAGCCCCAGTAGGCAGCTGAGCTGGGAATTGCCAAGCGGTGCTGCTCTTCATCCCCTTACAGCCGCACCAAAAGCGCCATCTGTCCCCAGTGCCTGTGGCTGGAGAAGCCCCTGCCTCTGGGTTTCCACTCTGCAGGGGATGGGACGGTGGGTGCAGGGGGGCACAGACCAGCAACCCCAGGAGTCACTCACTGAGGGGCTGCCCAGCACCTCCCTGTTGCAGGACCCGAGTGCCCCAGCCCCAGTTTACCCCTCTCCCCCCTGCCCTGCCCTGTGGCCGAGCACCACTCAGGCAGACCCACGGGGCAGAGAAGAATCCAGAGGAGTCTAAATCCTTGGTGTTTATTTGTACTCAAAACAAAGCAAAAAAGGGAAATCAAAATGCAAAGCTTCTCAACCCCTGTCAAGCTTTTCTGCCTGCGTTTGGAGAGCCAACACAAGGGATCAGCAGTTTCTTCCCCTTCCACTTGTGTATCACTGGTGAAACCCTCAGGCAGCTGGACCCACTGTGCTCCCCTCTTCACCTCCCTCCTTCTGTAGGGCCAAACAGTGACTCTGAGACCCGTCTCCAAGAATACATGTTCACTGCATGGAGCAGAGAACCACGAAGGGGTTTGGACCCAATCCATGAGCTTTCAGCCAGACCCTTCCTAATCCACGTTATCCTTCATCTCCCCAGTGCATAATCAGGCTCTTCAAACACGGCGTTCTCAGGTCCCAGCCCAGAGCTTGGAGCCTCCCAAGAGGAATACGCTAAAAAAAGAAAGAAAAACATTACATTGCCAACTGAAGCGAGTGCTGAAAGGAAGGAGATGCCAGGAGCACTTAAACAAGAATTCGAGACCAGGGGACGCTTGGGCGTGTGTTTTCAATCCGCAGACGGGAGACATGTTCATTGGGAAATGACTGCCACTCACTGTTAGCTTTAGATCTCGTAGTTGATGTCCCAGAAAGTTAAATGGCCATGACGAGGACATCCCTGCCTGTATTAGAACTTTCTTCTGGGATTGATGGATTATCATGATGCGTGGTGAAATGGTGCCACTCCTCCCTTGGCTCTGAAACCTGCATTTGCAGCTCAAACCTGCAAAGATGGAGATGAGCAATTTTACATGGGCCATCAGTCCTGTCGGCAGCAAGGGGAGCTATTTGGGAAAATCGAGTCAAGACATCAGAGGGTCCAGGACCCCCTTGGATGCTGCAGGGTGTCCTGCAGCACCTGGACCCAGCTGGCAGTGCCATGCCCTGGTGCGGAGCATCACTCCCATGGGAGCAGCATCCCACAGCCCCGTGCCAGCCCCAGGGGCAGGGTATCCGCTGTCAGGGCCCCAGCCCAGTGCCGCAGTGGGGGGATGCTCCTGCTGCTCACACTGCATCGAGTGCCCAGGACCAGGCTCCAGTTGGGGCTAACAGGGGAGCTCAACATCATTCTGCTGTTTAAGGGTAAAGCTTCAGTTCTCTGGGTACAGAGGGTCTCACCTTCTCCAAACAACAAGCCTGCAGCTGCCCCGGAGTGCATGGAGGTGCAGGCTGGAGGCCGTCACCTCCCTGGGCTCTGTAACCAGCCCCGCAGGGAAGGATGAGCTCTCTGAACATACCACAGAGGCTGATTCACAGGGACATCTCCCAGCACTGATGGCTTGAGCTGCTGGGGGAACATAACCTTTCACAGCACATTCCAGATCTCTGCCGAAAAGCAATTATCAATGCTTTTACCTCTGTGCAGAGCCGTACAAATAATGGATCATGTCTCTGCAAGCTGCAGCAGGTCAGGGAGCAGCACCCTGGCTCACCCTGGGCTGCGTGTCCTGGGCTGGGCACGTTGTCTGCTGGCTTGTGTGTGTGTACGTGTGTGTGTCTGTGCACAGTCTGTAACGCTGGAGAAATGGTGGCAAAGCCAGGAGATCAGAGGCTGGACACGGATGACGAAGCCATTTCCCTTTCCAAAGGATGTATCTAAACAGATGATTCAGCTCCCATCCAAAAGCCACCAGTTCTAAGCCAGCTATTCCTTGGGGATTGCTGGTGCATGGCGGGAGGATGACACGTAACGCCAGCCACCCTCCCGCTGCGCAGGCGCTTCCCGCTTGCGCAGCGGCTGGCGGACGCCGGGGGGGGGCCGCGGGGACCCGCCC